TTGATCTGAGTCAATAAAAGCCTCAGGTCCCAAAAGAAACCACATTCAAACACAGAAAACAAGGAGGCTTTGGAGTTCCAAAATTCACAAAATAATTTTAAGCCACACAGATTGCTTCCCTGACTTCTTTTTATACTGAGCAACATGCCCCCTTGTGGGTCAATTTGTAAGTGTTCTATTGCTCCCCGGTCTCCCTTTGTTCATTCTGTTTATTCCCTTCAAAATTCAGACCTACATCTGTAAACCCTTTACTGAACCACTCACTCCAAGCTTTGGACTCCACGAAGTACTTTAGTAAATTAATTTCTCCACACCTGCCTGTTCCTTTTCTCTTACGCAATCCAATATTTATTTCGGGCTTAGAATCACCCAGCACATTTGGTCACTCTGTTCACACCTAGGCTGAAATCAGAGACAAGCACCAGACCCTGTTTACTGAACTCTTTCATTTTTTGTAAATTAAACATTGGCTAACCGCGGTGCTCACTAATAAAGGTCTGACATCTTAACTCTCGCTATTTGAGCACATTTGCACTTCTCTCCCCCAGACGTATCTCTATTTTTACTTGCAGTTGAATAGTCTCAACAGCTCTAATAGGAACACTTAAATTTCTAAATGGGAACACAATCTCAAAGGTACCAAAAACAAGGAAGACTGGTCACAAATCTGGTCCATGAGAAATTTCTAAAAATATGAACCCCGTGGATTCAATATGCTCACCCCCCTTATGTGCTGTTATAGACACTGAGGCCCTAGGATGGGGTGTCCTTGACATCCTTCTCTCCTTTCCCTTTTTCCTTTTCTCCTTTAAACTTTTTCCCTTCCTACTCTTATTGGTTCTCCCGCTGTAGAGATCCTTGTTTACATATTCCTTTGCTCTCCACATAATTACATAGCTAGTCTGCTTTTGTGAACTGGTGCCCAAAAACTGAACTTGAGGTCTTACTCCATAGTGTACAGGGGCAAAAGAATACAGGAGCAAAATGATGATGTCTCTCTCTTGATTCTATACCTCTTTTAATACAAGAAGGGATTTTGCATGCTTTTATTAAGTGTATGATCTACCAAAACACCCAGATCCTTCTCTATTGATCCACCATTGATTCCCCCAGTTGTACTCCCCCTAGTATGTATGATGCATGCATATTCTTAGCCCCCAAGTGCATAACCTTCATTTATCAACATTAAACCTCATTTGCCACATAGTCTCCCAATTAAGTGCATTGAGGTCAGCTGGTAAGTTGGAGACATCCTGTAAGGACGTTATTCCACTGCATAGCTTGTGTTAAATGCTTAAATGTTTACATTTAGCTGGTTGTCAAGGAGCCGGCACATGTGGGCATCCTTAACAACCAGGAAATAGCTGGTTTTTAGAGGCCAGCAGTGTCCTTAACAACCAATAATTGACTGTTAAGGAGCTGGCAATCGCCGTGTCCTTACCAACTATGACTCATTTGCTGTCAGCAGGATTCCCTAAGGGCCGGTATGGATTGGGAGGGGACCGCCACACTGTTTTTTTTTCTTTTAATTTTCTATGCCTGTCCTTTTGTTTACGTTCTGCTGTCAGCAGATAAGTCATAGTTGTTAACCGCCTCCCGCCCGCCATATACAGTGAGGAACAGAAGTATTTGAACACCCTGCGATTTTGCAAGTTCTCCCACTTAGAAATCATGGAGGGGTCTTAAATTCACATTGTAGTTGCATTCCCACTCTGAGAGACAGAATTTAAAAAAAAAATTCAGGAAATCACATTGTATGATTTTTAAAGAATTCATTTGTCTTGCACTGCTGAACATAAGTATTTGAATACCTAAGAAACAGCAAGAATTCTGGCTCTCAAAGACCTGTTACTGTGCCTTTAAAAAGTCCACCTCTATTCCACTCATTAATCTAACTTAGTAGCACCTGTCTGAGCTCTTTAAAGACACCTGTCCACCCCACAGTCAGACGCCAACTGCTACCATGGGCAAGACCAAAGAGCTGTCAAAAGACACCAGAGACAAAATTGTGGACCTCCACAAGGCTGGAAAGGGCTACGGGGCAATTGCCAAGCAGCTTGGTGAAAATAGATCAACTGTTGCAGCAATTGTTAGAAAATGGAAGAGGCTAAAGACGACTGTCAGTCTCCCTCGGACTGGGGCTCCATGCAAGATCTCACCTCGTGGGGTATCACTGATGATAAGAAAGGTGAGGAATCAGCCCAGAACTACAAGGGAGGAGCTGGTCAATGACATGAAGAGAGCTGGGACCACAGTTTCAAAGGTCACTGTCGGTAGAACACTACGCCGTCATGGTTTCAAATCATGCATTGCACGGAAGGTTCCCCTGCTCAAGTCGTCACATGTCCAGGCCCGTCTGAAGTTTGCCAATGACCATCTGGATGATCCAGAGGAGGCATAGGAGAAAGTCATGTGGTCAGATGAGACCAAAGTAGAACTTTTTGGTCTAAACTTCACTCGTCGTGTTTGGGGGAAAAAGAAGGATGAGTTGCATCCCAAGAACACCATCACTACTGTGAAGCATGGGGGTGGTAAAATCATGCTTTGGGGGTGCTTTTCTGCGAAGGGGACAGGACGACTGCACTGTATTAAGGAGAGGATGAATGGGGCCATTTATTGTGAGATTTTGAGCAACAACCTCCTTCACTCAGTAAGAGCATTGAAGATGGGTCGTGGCTGGGTCTTCCAACATGACAACGACCCGAAGCACACAGCCAGGATAACCAAGGAGTGGCTCCGTAAGAAGCATATCAAAGTTCTGGAGTGGCCTAGCCAGTCTCCAGACCTAAATCCAATAGAACATCTTTGGAGGGAGCTGAAACTCTGTGTTGCTCAGCGACAGCCCCGAAACCTGACAGATCTAGAGGAGATCTGTGTGGAGGAGTGGGCCAAAATCCCTGTTGCAGTGTGTGCAAACCTGGTCAAGAACTACAGGAAACGTTTGATCTCTGTAATTGCAAACAAAGGCTTCTGTACCAAATATTAACACTGATTTTCTCAGGTGTTCAAATACTTATGTTCAGCAGTGCAAGACAAATACATTCTTTAAAAATCATACAATGTGATTTCCTGAATTTTTTTTTAAATTCTGTCTCTCAGAGTGGGAATGCACCTACAATGTGAATTTCAGACCCCTCCATGATTTCTAAGTGGGAGAACCTGCAAAATCGCAGGGTGTTCAAATACTTCTGTTCCTCACTGTAAGGTAATGACGGGCGCAAGGTGGTTCTCTCATTTTGGGAGGATGTCATACAGTCAGGTCCATAAATATTGGGACATCGATGCAATTCTAACATTTTTGGCTCTATACACCACCACAATGGATTTGAAATGAAACAAACAAGATGTGCTTGAACTGCAGACTGTCAGCTTTAATTTGAGGGTATTTACATCCAAACAGGTGAACGGTGTAGTAGGAATTACAACAGTTTGCATATGTGCCTCCCACTTGTTAAGGGACCAAAAGTAATGGGACAGAATAATAATCATAAATCAAACTTTCACTTTTTAATCTTTGGTTGCAAATCCTTTGCAGTCAATTACAGCCTGAAGTCTGGAACGCATAGACATCACCAGACACTGGGTTTCATCCCTGGTGATGCTCTGGCCAGGCCTCTAATGCAACTGTCTTCAGTTCCTGCTTGTTCTTGGGGCATTTTCCCCTTCAGTTTTGTCTTCAGCAAGTGAAATGCATGCTCAATCGGATTCAGGTCAGGTGATTGACTTGGCCATTGCATAACATTCCACTTCTTTTCCCTTAAAAAACTCTTTGGTTGCTTTTGCAGTATGCTTTGGGTCATTGTCCATCTGCACTGTGAAGCGGCGTCCAATGAGTTCTGAAGCATTTGGCTGAATATGAGCAGATAATATTGCCTGAAACACTTCACAATTCATCCTGCTGCTTTTGTCAGCAGTCACATCATCAATAAATACAAGAGAACCAGTTCCATTGGCAGCCATACATGCCCATGCCATGACACTACCACCACCATGCTTCACTGATGAGGTGGTATGCTTAGGATCATGAGCAGTTCCTTTCCTTCTCCATACTCTTCTCTTCCCATCACTCTGGTACAAGTTGATCTTGGTCTCATCTGTCCATAGGATGTTGTTCCAGAACTGTGAAGGCTTTTTTAGATGTCGTTTGGCAAACTCTAATATGGCCTTCCTGTTTTTGAGGCTCACCAATGGTTTACATCTTCTGGTGAACCCTCTGTATTCACTCTGGTGAAGTCTTTTCTTATTGTTGACTTTGACACACATACACCTACCTCCTGGAGAGTGTTCTTGATCTGGCCAACTGTTGTGAAGGGTGTTTTTCTTCACCAGGGAAAGAATTCTTTGGTCATCCACCGCAGTTGTTTTCCATGGTCTTCTGGGTCTTTTGGTGTTGCTGAGCTCACCGTGCGTTCCTTCTTTTTAAGAATGTTCAAAACAGTTGTTTTGTCCACGCCTAATGTTTTTGCTATCTCTCTGATGGGTTTGTTTTGTTTTTTCAGCCTAATGATGGCTTGCTTCACTGATAGCGACAGCTCTTTGGATCTCATCTTGAGAGTTGACAGCAACAGATTCCAAATGCAAATAGCACACTTGAAATTAACTCTGGACCTTTTATCTGCTCATTGTAATTGGGATAATGAGGGAATAACACACACCTGGCCATGGAAGAGCTGAGAAGCCAATTGTCCCATTACTTTTGGTCCCTTAACAAGTGGGAGGCACATATGCAAACTGTTGTAATTCCTACACCATTCACCTGATTTGGATGTAAATAACCTCAAATTAAAGCTGACAGTCTGCAGTTAAAACACATCTTGTTTGTTTTTCATTTCAAATCCATTGTGGTGGTGTATAGAGCCAAAAATGTTAGAATTGTGTCGATGTTCCAATATTTATGGACCTGACTGTATGACGTCCTCCCACTCTAACCGCACGTGCGCGCCGATTGGTGGTGCCCTGTGTCCCTGGGATACAGCGGATCACCGATCAATAGAAAGAGCCGATGACATCAGCTGTGTCATGTGATCAGCTGTCCAATTGCAGCTGATCACATGTAAATAAGGAAATGCCAGTTATTGGCATTCCTTTCCTCATGAGCTGTGACGCTGACAGCTCATGAGGAGAGGAGAGCTGATAATCGTCATTACTCAGAGGGGACATGTACACTGATCATCAGGGCACTGATGATCAGTGTAGCCCCATCAGTGCCACCTGCCAGTGCCCATCAATGCCACCTGCCAGTGCCCATCAGGGCCACATCAATGCCACATATCAGTGCCTACCAGTGCACATCAATGTCACATATCAGTGCCCATGTGAGCTGCCTTTCAGTGCCGCCTATCAGTGCTGCCTATCAGTGCCAGTCAGTGCCAGTCAATGCTGCCTATCAGTGCCGCCTAACAGTGCAAGTCAGTGCCACCTAACAGTGCCAGTCAGTGCCACCTATCAGTGCCATATGAGTCCTGCCTTTCAGTGCCCATCAGTGATGCCTGTCAATTCCCATCAGTGCCACCTACCAGTGCCTCCTCATCAGTGCCGCTTATCAGTTCCCATCAATGCAGCCTATCAGTGCACATTACTGCAGCCTCATTAGCACACATCAGCGAAGGAGAAAAAATCACTTTTATAACAGAAACTAAGAAAAAACTTTTTTAACAAGAAATTTTCAGTTTTTTGGTTTGTTTAGCAAAAAATAAAAAACTCAGAGGTGATTAAGTACCACCAAAAGAAAGCTCTATCTGTCTTAAAAAATTATAAAAATTTCATATGGGTACAGTGTTGCATGACCTTGCAATTCTCATTCAAAGTGCGACAGCACTGAAAGCTGAAAATTGGCCTGGGCAGGAAGGGGGCAAAAGTGCCCGGTAGGCAAGTGCTAAAGATGTGGTGGGTACCGGCAATAAAATACCACTAGTTTTCATTACTAAAATACTAGATCACTTCAAGAAACCGCACATGCAGTATTTTTACTTTTGCTGTTTTTGTAGCATTTTTTTTAGTGAATTGCAAAAAAATGTTTTAAAAATTATATAAGCTAGTTTACTGCTGATCTTAAAGCGTAGATATCATTTCATGAATTGAGCCCTATATCATTTATAAATATATTAAAAAGTAAGGGTCCCAACACTGAACACCACTATCGACCCTAGCCCATTCAGAGTATGAATCATTAACCATTACTCTCTGAATAAGAAAAATTAATAATAGCGCCTATGGTCAAAATTATATAACTTACTAATAGTGTACCAGCTGCAAAAAATCACCATATATAAAAGTGTACCAATAAATAAATAATTTGCGCTAGTAAATGTGTATAAATATATAAATATATATAAAGAAATCATTAAATCATAAGTCCAGAAAAAAAATATATATATGCCAATACCACAAAAAAAAAAATAAAAAAACTTTTAAGTGCAAAAAACTTTTGTGCAAAAAAAAGTGTCTAAATATGAAAAATTTCACCAAAAAACCTTGATAATATAATGGCAGATCATCCATAAATATATCTTCAGAAACGGAAACTCTGCAACACACCGATCCTCATCGATCGAAATAACAGGATGAAAAACTTTGTAATTAATCGAAAATCCACTTCTCCAATAGATAAAGGACCACCTTCAAACGTATCCATGGGGGAAATGCCAAGCACTCGAGAGAAACAGAAAGACTTCATGGTGCAATATTATAAAAAACCAATTCCTTTATTAGATACTCATTGCACTTACTCAAGAGGTGTCCCAGCCGACACCACATCAACAGCATAACAGCAATCACATAAACGAGCCTGGCTACTCAGCACATGCGCAGTAGCTGGCAGCCAAAAACGTAATGACGTCACATCAATCAAGCTCCGCCCTACGCGTTTCGTCATCG